CATTTATAGCCTGACAGTGAATGAAGTATTTTAGTATTGGTGAGAATAAAACTGATTCAGAGAAAATTTTAGCTATAGTTTTTGTAACTTAGAGAAATGTTTTACGGTAATGCTTTTTTCTATTCTTCTCTTTCCATTTTAGGAGAAACTCCAGAATTTCCCTTTACGAATTTGGACCAGAAGCTGTCACTATTGGCTCAACAGATCTGGCTTTACTCTTAACTTTCGCTTTTGACAACAAAATAGCTCATGATCTTGATTTCAAGTTTATTTTTCCTACTTTGAAAGCAGTTGGGGTTGGTTTGGTATTTAAAAAAAATTTAGTAGCACTGGCTGGAGCTATATACTGTGCAGGAATTTTCTGTGTGAATTTCCTTGCATAGTTCCTGTGCCAACCTGTCTGTGCTTTTTTGAACACAGATTTTTCTTTTTTAAGTCTTTGTAATTTGGTATAATTTGCCATACCTTTAAAATCTCTATTACAATTAGAACAAGTTCTCAGCACTCATTTGTCTATTGATCCAAACCAAAAAGTGGATTCATGGCTGGTAAAAGGGAAAACCAGTGCTGCTATTTTTTAAAAAAGTGAAAAACAACCTTTAATATACCTCAGATGTCATTATTCATTCTGGCCATTGAAAAGCTTTTATTTACAGTGTTTTTTTACACTGTTTGTATTAGCTCAGCTGCTACTTCAATGGTTTTCCCTTTCACTCTCCATTTATCTTTCTTATTGAATAACTAATAATAAAATCATTTTTATTCTAAAAAGTGAAAGGTAAAAGCAGAGCTATAGCAGTTGAGTCAGTACTGACAACTACAACACAAATGTTCCTGCCGGTGCCTGGAGGAACATCTGATACTTAATAAACTTTAAACCAAAAGATAATAATCAGAATTGGCTTTCTTTTTCTTCTTTTTTATTTTTTTGTCTCACAGATTTGACTGTAAAGTTTAATGTTACTAAATGGTCATTTATGGGTTTTTTTTTAAATGAAAACAGATATAAAAAGAAATCTGATGTGATTGTACTGAGTTTGACTCCTTTTGTGTCAGAATAGAACTGCTCTCCATAGTATTTTCAATGACGGCAGTAGAGATAGATCATGGGGCTTTTCTGTGGCACCCCTGTTGGTGTTATGGTTAGGTGCCTTTGAGAAGAGTGCAGTCATAGCAACCCTGTAAACAATAAATTGGAACCCTGTCCTGTCCTCTGCCATTCTCATCATCTAAGACATACTTGAAACTATTGCTGCAGTCACTGTGTCAGTCCATCTCATGGAAGGTCTTCCTCAATTTTACTGACCCTCCACCTTTCCAAGCATGATGTCTCTTTCCAAGGAATAGCCTCTTCGCATACCCAGAGTGTGTGAGACAAAGCTTCACCATCTTTGTCTCCAAGGAGCACTCTGGCTGCACTTTCCCCAAGATATATCTGGTTTTTTGACAGCCATACACACACACACACACACACATACACACACACACACACACACACACACGTAGTTATATAGGATATATATTACATATATACACACACATATAGAGAGCGCATACTGATTGCCTAGTCATAAGAAGTTAAGCTGTCAAGATTAAAAGACACAATTTGAATCTACCAGCTGCTTCATGGGAGAAAGATGATCATTCTCTTTCTGTGCAATTTAAAGCCTCTGAAAACTCACTGGAGTGTTAGTTATGATTTGTTTCTGACTCAATGGTGCACAACAGCAACAAACATATATATAATGTATATGTGTTTTATATGTATGTATGACTATCTGTGTGTATATATATATATATATAAATGTGTATGGGTATAAACACATATAAATATATATGCATATATTATATATAAAATTACAGCATATATGCATTGAAATATGATCTTATATAAACCCAGTCCAGGTTAAAGTAAGTTGTGAGAATTATTAAGAAAAAGTTAATCTCACTCCTTTTCTAAGAAAATTGAACCATTGTTTTGGAAACCTATTGAATAGATTCGTTAGAAGAAAGAAAGAATAGATAACTTATGCAGATATGAGAGATTTCTTAAACTTATAAAGTGGATGATAATATTGTAGCTATCACAGTTTACATCTATAAGTATTAAACACTGAGTGTTATTAACATGTTCTAAATTATAACATTGTATGATTCAGCTAAAATATAAATCTAGAATTTTCATCATCTAAGATCTTAAATTCTTAGCATACATTGCAGCTAGAGTTTATGAATAATATTAGCAACTGAGTTTTATGGCATATGCAATAGAAATGCATATTCCAATAAATCTAGCATCTGCCCTGTGTGTAAGAGAAAAATGCAAGTGTTATACTCCTTAAACTTAATGCTTTTATCCCCATTATATAGTTGAAAAACTGAGGACTGAAACAGTTAAATAAATTACCCAATTATGTGTCTCTCTGTATATATATTATATTCACTCATCTTTTTAAAAGCTGATATACAGAATTTTGAATGATCCAGGATGCATCAAAAGATGATGGAAGGAATGCATGGAGTCACTGTACCAAAAATAATTGATGGAGACAGAACCATTTCAAGACATGACATATTATCAAGGACCAATACTAATGAAGGGGAAAAGTCAAGCTACTCTGAAGGAAGTGACAAAATGTAAGGCCTCAGGAATTGAAGGAATTAATAGTTGACTCATTTCAACAAACAGATGCAGCTGTGGATGTACTCACTAGATTGTGTCAAGAAATCTAGAGTACAGCTACCTGGCCAACTCACTGGAAGAGATCTATTTTTATTCCCATTCCCAAAAAATGTGACCCAACACAACATGGAAATTATCAAACAATATCATTAATATCACATGCAAGCAAAGTCTTGGTGAAGATTATCCTAAAATAGTACTTTGACAGCAAACTGCCAGAAATACAAGCTGAGTTAGAAGAGGATGAGAATAGGGATATCATTGCTGATGCCAAGTGGATTTTGACTGAAAGCAAAGAGTACTCAGAGGATGTGTATGTGTGTTTTGACTATGAAAAGGCTGTGTGGATCACAACAAATTGTAACTAACACTGAGAATGGGAATCCTAGAACAATGATTGTATTCATGTGAAACCTATACCTAGACCAAGAAGCTGTTATCCAAACAGAGCAAGAGAACACTTCATGGCTCAAAATCAAGAAAGGAGTTTATCAGGGATATATCCTTTTTCCGTATCTTTTCAGTCTGTATGCTGAACACATGATTCAAGAGGCTAGAGTTTATGAAGAAGAATGTGACATCAGAATTGGAAAATCATCAACATATATTGTATAGATAACACAACCTTGCTTGCAGAAAAGGTGGAAGACTTGATGTGCTTGCTGCAGAAGGTCAAGGACTATAGCTTTCAATATGAGTTGTATCTCAACATCACAAACACCTACCCCTGGATCAGTAGGCTCCATCAGGATAGATGGAGAAAAGATTAAAGTTTATAACAATTTCATCTTTCTCACATTAACAATTGGTACCCTTGGCACAGATCACAAGTTAGTAAATCACAAGATGAGTTGTATTGGAGAAATCTGTTGTCAAGGACCTCTCCAGAGTGCCCATAAGCAACGTGTGTCAGTCTAGAGACTAAGGTGCAACTAACCCAGGACATGACCTTTTCAGTTGCTTGTTACACATCTGAGAGCTGGACAGACTTCTGAGCCTTAGAGGGGATTTCACCAGTTTGATGCAGTAAGTTTAATGTTGTATTATCAATATTTTTTTGAGGAACACTAAGTATTTTAACAAGAGAAAATCATTGTTATTTATTTACAAATTATTTCTCGAAAATTTTTTATAAGTTCTTGGGCTATGGCTTCACCTAGCAGGCCCAAGTCTCATAGATAGCCACTGTTGTATCGAGTCGAGTATGACTCATAGTGACCCTGTGAACAATAGGCCTGAATCCTGTCTTATCCAGTGCCATCTCATCAGCTTTAATATACTTGAGCCTATTGCTACAGTCACCATGCCAGTCTACCTCATTGAGGGTCGTCCTCTCTTTCACTACCCCTTCACCTTTCTAGAAATATCCTTTTTCCAGGAAACGGCTTCTAACAACAAGCCCAAAATATGTGAAGTGAAGCATTCACCATCCTTGCCTCCAAGGAATACTCTGACTGCACTTTTTCCTACATCTGTTTGTTGTTGGGTTTTTTTGTTTTGTTTGGGGGGTTGGGTTTTTTGAGGGGTTTTTTTTGTTTGTTTGTTTTGGGTTTTCCCCCCCAATCCATGGGATAGTTAGTGTTTTTCTCATCACAATACAAAGGCATCATATCTTCCTGTCATCCCTCAGATGCACAGCAAGTGGTTGAAAAGACCTGAATCAGGCACACCTTAGTCTTCAAACTGACATTGTTCTTCAGTATTTTGGAGAGATACATGACAACAGAATTACCCAAAGCATTGTGTCTTCTGATCTCCTTACTGATGGTACCAAGGATGTTGATTGTAGATCCAAGTAAGATGAAATCATTGACAGTTTGAATCCTTTCTCCATTTATCATAATGGTGCCTATTGGCTCTGTGATAAAAGCTTTTTTTTTTTTATGTTGAGATATAATCCATATTGAAGGCTATATTCTTTGATCTCCTGTAACAAGTCTTTCAGGTCCTTTCCACTTTCAGCAAACAAGGTGTAATATCCACTATGTCACAGCCACTGACATGAAATTGTTTAATACTGGAATATTTGGACATTGTAAATTTTGACTGAGTGGGATAGGCCATAAAAATCAAACATTGATATTTGATAATCTTGAGACATTTGACTACCTACAGAATGTGTTGTGTAACTGATTTGATTATTGTTGTTTGATAAAAACATAAATATGCCCTTTTATTACTACTTTGACACTAAATTTGACCAGAAGCCTTCACAATAGCTTTTAATTTTACCCCTCAAATAATACCATTTGTTTTCTAAAGACTATTTATTTGACACTTCTACTGACACAGATACTGCTGTATGCTTTCCTTTTAGATAGAAGAGCTGGAGAAGCAACTAGTCCTTGCCAACTCAGAGCTAACTGAAGCACGGTCAGAGCGTGATCAAATCAGCCAGGAATCTGGAAATTTGGATGATCAACTTCAAAAACTGTTGGTAGGATTATATTCTAAAATGTGAATGACATTAATTCTGGGAAGTTATTCCCCAAAATATTTAACAAACTAGTTCCATTTATAAATTTCAAATTATCCTGGTACATAAATACATGTACACATAGACTATCCTAGATGCTAGTCAAAATTTCCATGTAAAAATATAATACTATGTATACTTCATCTTTTTCTGTTACTGTTTTTAGAAGAACAGTCGGGTCTCAAAAGTTCAGCCATATTCTTTTCACCAGATAATGTATGCTACTAAAAGTGGAGTGTTAAGTGTTCATTTTAAAGCCAAATAACATTCAGAAGCACATACAAATTATTCATATTTTAATTATTCAAATTTTAGTGGAAGTTTAAGTGGAAATATTAAGAAGGAGAAAAAATAGTGTTCTTTACATAGTGAGTCAGCCTCAGTCCTCTGTTGAAGGTAATAACCCAAGCCAAGCCAAACTCACTGCTATCACAACAGTTCAAACTCATTGTGACACTATAGGGCAGAATGGAGCTAACTTTCCCATAGTATTTCCAAGGCTATAGGGATATCATTGTTGCTGTCAGGTGGATCCCTGGTAGAAAGCAGAGAATACCAGAAGAATGTATATATTTGTGTTTATTGACTATGCAAAGGCCCTTGACGTTGTGCATCATAACAAATTATGGCTCACATTGAAAGAAATGGGAATCCCAGGTCATTTAATTGTGCTTCTATGAAATCTATACCTAGACCACGAAGCTGTTGTGCAAACGGAGCAAGGGAACACTGCATGGTTTAAAATCAGGAAGAGTGTGTGTCATGGTTGTACCCTTTCTCCATACCTTTTCAGTCTGTATGCTTAGCAAATAATTCACAAAGCCAGACTCTTAAAAAGGGGGATTGTGGCATCAGGATTGGAGGAGGATTTAGCAACAACTGGTGTTATGCTGATGACGCAACTGTGCTTGCTGAAAGTGAGGAAGATATGAAGCTCTTGCTGCGGAAGATCAAGGACTACAGCCTTCAGTATGGATTACATCTAACATCAAGAAGACAAAGATCCTTACCACAAGGCCACAGTCATCATTATGATAGATGGAGAAAGGATTAAAGCTGTCAATGATTTCATCTTGCATGAGTCAACAGTAAACACCCTTGGTACCAGAAATTGGGAAATCAGTAGACATATTGCATTGGACAAGTCTGCTTATTAATACTGAAGAGCAATGATGTCAGTGTGAAGACTAAGGTGTACCTGATTCAGGCCATAGTCTTCTCAGTCATCACCTGCTATGCGTCAGAGAGCTGGACAATGAATAAAGATGACAGAAGAAGATTTGATGCCTTTGAGTTGTGGTGCTGTAAAAGAGTACTGAGTATCCCATGGACTGCCAAAAGAACAAAAAGAGATATGTCCTTGGGAAAAGTGCAAAGATGACGAAACTTGATCTTTCACACTTTGTACATGTAGGTAGGTGAGGCTATTTCTTGGAAAGAGACATCATGCTTGGAAAGATGGAGGGTCAGTGAAGGAGAAGAAGACACTTAACAAGATGGAGTAACACTCTGACTTCAGTAGTGGACTCTAGTGTCTCAGAGATGATGAGGATGGCCTAGGGTGGGGCAGGTTTCAGGTTGACTGTTTAGGGGTAACTATGAGTCACACTCAGCAGCACCTAAGATCAACAACAGTCTTTACAGAAGCTGACTGCCACATCTTTATGATGGTGAGTTCAAGGTGCTGCCCTTTGGGTTATTGGCCAAATAATATTACTATGCCACCACAGCTAGTTGTAGGTACATTGTTGTTGTTTGTTGTTATGTGCCGTCGAGTCATTTGCAACTCATAGCGACCCTATGTACAACAGCCCTAAACCCCGCTCTATCCTGTGCCAATCGCACTGTCTCTGACACTCCGATCCCAATTATCCCAGTCACTGAATCAATCCACCTCATAGAGGGCCTTCCTCTCCTGCACTGTCCCTCCACCCTCCCAAGCATGATGTCCCTCTCCAAGGATCGGTCTCCTCACACCATGTCCAAAGTATGTTAGACGGAGCCTCAGAATCTTTGCCTCCAAGGAGCCACCTGGTTTAACCCTTTCCAGGAGGTACACTAGGGTGAGAAATATGGGAAAAGAATAATTTGGCCCTCTTTTATGTAATACTAATGGTGTAGGAGAATAAATTTCTCTTTACTAGAGACTGCATTATACGACATCATACTCTTTCCTGGTTAAACCATCCTTCATGAGCTAAACGATTTGATGAATATGTGCAAAAGGTAGGACTTTACCACTTTCAGGAAGGTCCAAACCTTTCCCAGTATACTCAGGGTTAATTTTAAAATCTTAGCAAATATTTGAAAATTCATCAAACTCAGTTGCTCCTTTCCCTTTTGACACTACTCCCAGCCTCGTTCAAGCCCTTATTGCCTCTTCTGTGGAGCATGACAGTCATCTCCGGCAGATGTTCTTGACACCTGTTTCTCTGGTCATCAACCCACCCATGAAAATGCTCCAGTATAAAGCTTGTTTATATGTAACAACTCTGATCAACTAAAACATTCTTTTCTCCATGACCTAGCCTCTTAATATTTAAGACTGTGAGCTAGCTCCAGTTTACCTCTTTGCATATACCCATCATTTGAAATAACCCATACATACTCCTTTCCAATCCTTTATTCTTGGTCTCTGCATCTCCAACTCATATTGAAGGTCTGACTCAATGCTTTCTCCTCAAAGCATTTTTGTCCTCCTTCATTAGTCTTTGCTATTCCTCATTTCTGACTTTTTTTATGAAGAAATATTTCTGTTTTTCTGTGTCTTGTCTTTCTGTTTGAGTAGAAAATCTTTTGAAGGTAGCATATCTGTTTCACTCCCTTTTTAAATTTTTTATATTAGCTTGCATATAAAATTCTTATACATTGTGTTTTATTCATATACATGATGTTTCATACATTCTTGCATTCACATTGCATTTTATGTGATCATACCCTGTATTTTACAAAATTAATCACCATTGGTTTATGCCCAGTATCACCCCATCTTCTCAGGTCCCCACTAGATCTATCCTAATTCCTTTACCCCCTCCCTTTACTCACCAAACTCTGTGACCTTGTGATTTTTTTCCCCCCAGCCTCAGCCCCCATGACCTCAGCCCCAATGATATCCCCTTTCTTTCCTTCCCCCTTTGGACTACTTGCTACAACTTAATAATTACCCTTCTATTTTTATAGTATCTTATGCAGTATTTTTCCTTATGAGACTGAGTTAGTTCATTCAGCATAATGCACTCTAACTTCTCCCATGTTATATAGTATTTTACAAAATCATTGCTTCTGAGTGCTGTCTAGTATTTCATCGTGTGAATATACTACAAATTCTCAATCCATTCCTTTGTTGATGGTGAAGGTAGTAAACTTTATCTTTTCAAACTGTAGAGTTTTTGCTCACAGGGAACATTCACTATGTAGGTTTTTTCATAGGCCAACTACTATTCCCATCCCAGTACCAGACACAGTTATGCCATTTCTGAAGCAGTATATGCCTAGTTACTGTTGTTATTCCTTCAAGCTGCCAGACATTACTTTATTACACAAAAACACTTGACATGAAGTATATGTTTTTCTTAGAATATTCATATTGGGTCTGGTACTGTGAGATTTAATTGTGATGCCAAAAAATTAAAAGTAAGTAAAATGTTACTGTACTCTTCTAGGAAGTATTTGCTCTTACCTACCCGATTAAAAAAAAATAGGAATCAGATACCCAAATCAAAGAAGATATCTCAAGTCTTGTAAAAAATAATTTCAATTATGTCATACTAACGGTCAGGGAGAAAATGTTCCTCACTTCTCCTAGGCTGATCTACATAAAAGAGAAAAGGAGTTGAGTCTGGAGAAAGAGCAGAATAAACGTCTGTGGGATCGAGACACAGGCAACAGCATCACCATTGACCACCTGCGACGGGAGCTTGATGACAGGAACATGGAGGTGCAGCGGCTGGAGGCGCTTCTCAAGGCCATGAAGAGCGAGTGTCAGGGGCAGATGGAGCGGCAGGTCAGAGAACCTAGGGAACTGCTTTGCCAGCTCTGAGTGATGGTGTGCTTTGGTGGGGAGGAGGGCAGTACATATGTCTCTCCCAACCCCAGCTTTTAATTTTGATTTGTGTGAAAGTTTCTATTACTACAAAACACATTTTGTTTTATAAATCCTTACATTTTAACAACACAATTCCTACTGCTTCCCTGTGATTCTCTTTTCAATCCATCCTATCCCTTCCTGCTTTCTGAGCTTTATCCTTAGAAAATGCTGCCCTTAAGATCTTCTATGGCTGGTTGATCTAAGGAATAAATAGTACATTCTGGATTAATTTTTGTCTTCTTCTTGTTGTTGTTATGTGCCATCAAGTTGCTTGTGACTCATAGTGACCCTATGTACCACAGCCCTAAACCCTGCTCTATCCTGTGCTAACCATACTGTCTCTGACACACCTACCCTTATTACCCCAGTCACTAAAACAACCCATCTCATCAAGGGTCTTCCTCCCTTGCATTGTCCCTTCACCCTTCCAACCATGATGTCTCTCTGCAAGGATTAGTCCCTCCGTGCAACATGCCCAAAGTACCAGATAAAGCCTCAGAATCCTTGCCTCCAAGGATCAGCCTGGTTTCACCTTCTCTGGGATGAAACTGTTCTCCTGCCAGTCCGTGGGTATAGTCAATACTCTTCTCCAGCATCACAGCTCAAAGATACCAATTCTCTTTCTAACATCCCTAGTCATTGTCCAGCTTTCTGATGCATAGCAAGTAATTGTGAAGACTGTGGCCTGGATCAGGCACACCTTAGTTTCCAGACTAACTGAAAGTTTTAAAAAGCATATATGGGTCTAGATTATAGCTGTCAATTCTGTAAGCAGTCTACAAAATCCCATTATTTGTATATTTAACCACTTACTAAACTAAAAACATTATACTTTGTTTTGCATTCATCTAAGATTGAGTAAACCTTTTTTTTTTTTTAATTATCCTTTTTTGTGTGTACTGTCAAATCAGGTTTGATTGGTACAGGAGGAGATTGCCCCTCCTCCAGCAGAGCATCTGGTGGATTCAAACCATGTACCTCTGGGATTACAGTGCAGCTTCTTGCCACTAGGCCACCAAAGCTCCCTAAGACTTGAGTAAACTTTTTTCTAGTTGCCTTTCTGCTATAGAAAAGTAATCCATAATAAAGCATAGACAGATTTAAGGATTAACAGATTTGAAGATTTCCAACAAATGTTTTTCCCCAGAAGAAACTTTTCATTCTTTCCCTCTAAATTGATAGATGCTCATATGTACACAAGATGGGTGCACCCAACTACAGTGCATTAATAGAAAAATGTGACATGCTTTATTAGTAGCAGTGTATCCTCGGTAATAAAAAGATATGCTTCTGATGGTTAGTTACTGCCACAAATGCAGAAAGCCTTACAGGAAAGTGCAAGCTTCCCCAAATCAGAAAGATTATGAAAGGGCTGCTTCTTGTTGTGTACAGGTGAGTCAGAACTGACCCATAGCTGACCCTCTGATAGGTTTTCAGAGTCAGTTATTGCACAGCATGAGACTGCCCATCTTTCTCTTGTGGAACAGCTGGTGGCCTTAAACTGCATGCCTTTGAGACTGCAGCACAGAATCTTGCCTCCAGGCCATGAGAGCTCCCTATAAAAGGGCTTAGACCCAGACAAAGATTTTTGTATTCTCTGGCGTAGATCTTAGAATATTACACGTTTTCAAATGAGAACTAGAGAATGTGAATATGCGTTGCATAAAAACCATTGTTTGTTTTTCCATTAGGGATATAATAAAGGGATCAGTTGGAAGCAAATCAAGAACAAGGATAGCTGTCTTCAGTCCTACAGCCTTCCTCTTGCTTGAAAGTCTATTAAAAAAATCATTATTTTATTTATTTACTTTTCAGTAAGTTTAAATTCTCAAGAGATACAGCAATACATGGATTCTGTGTCCAGTGGCCTTAACAGGAAGTTACTCCGAAATTTGGCCTGAACCATACCACTGTTTCCATGGGCACGAGTTACCTTTCCCACATTACTCTTTGTTAGGTTTGCAACCAGGAGTCACTGAATTACTTTTTGCATTGTAAATATGAGCACATCTCTTGCCTAAATAGAATTCTATTTCACCTTGGGCTTAAATCCTTCAATTTTAAGAGTAGCTGTTGCTCCCTCTGGTTTCAAAGACCTCATTTATAGCTAGCAAAGTGGCTTTTCACCACAGCCTCCCAACCATCTTTGTGATTTAGAAGTTCCGTTTCCAGGAGGCCATCGTGGGATCCAAGATGGCAGGGGGAAAAAATGAAAGTGTATTTTTTTATTTTATTTAAATTGTCACAGAAAATAACCTCAGAGGAAACTTCAAATTCTCTATTTGGAAAAAAAGTTGTTAAATGTTTTTTAAAATGTTGCTGTGGTTTGGCTAAAAGTTTACAGAGCAAATTAATTTTTTTAATCACTTTATTTGCATTTTGTTTTGTAAACATACTTAAAGTACTCTCAATATAAAAGAGGGAGCTCTGGTAGCTTTTTGGGAAGGAATTGTGCTACCAATTCAAATGTGCATGATTTGAATGAACCAGCTGCTCTGCAGGAGAATGATGGGCAGTCTCCTCCTATGTGATTTGATGTCTCTGAAAATCCACTGGAGGATCAGCTATGGGTCAGTTCTGACGAAATGGTACACAGCACCAACAGTATAACAGCATTTTGCCCACTTCTCTGGATTCCTTATTTCTATTTGGTATTATTAAGCCTTCTCAGTTTGATCTTCTTACTACATGTAAGATCTAGAGCTGTGTACATTAATGACATAGTTAATGTAACGACATTATTTATTATTTCATATTTTGAGTTAATGTAATATATTTCCTTCATTAAGCTTGCCTATTCTTGTCCTCTCACGTCCATGAAATTATCTTGTCTTAATCAGATGGCAGCAATTCAGGGAAAAAATGAAAGTTTAGAAAAAGTGTCTTCCTTGACTGCTCAACTTGAATCCACCAAAGAGATGCTTCGCAAAGTAGTAGAAGAATTGACAGCCAAAAAAATGACGCTGGAGAGCTCAGAGAGAACTGTATCAGATCTGACAGCTTCCCTCCAGGAAAAAGAGAGAGCCATAGAGGCTACCAATGCAGAGATCACGAAGCTTCGCTCCCGAGTGGACTTGAAATTGCAGGAGCTGCAGCATTTGAAAAATGAAGGGGATCATCTCAGAAATGTGCAGACTGAATGTGAGGCCCTAAAGCTGCAGATGGCAGAAAAGGACAAGGTAATCGAGATTTTGCGACAACAGATTGAAAATATGACGCAGTTGGTTGGTCAGCATGGACGAACTGCTGGTGCCATGCAAGTAGAGAAAGCTCAACTTGAGAAAGAGATCAATGACAGGAGACTGGAACTACAGGAATTCAAGGTCTGTAGATTTTTTTTTTTGCTAGTTTAACTTTTGAAGTATCTCTTTTTCGGTTAAGTATGTCTTAATTTACTGAAAAGGAATTATTGGGGCTTGTGGACTTTCTGAAATGATTTAAAAATATTTGTGTCTTTGTGTATGTGTGTTTTTGTGAAAAAGGATTCATACTTTTATCACATTCCCCCAAAAAGGAGTGTTTGGCCCCAAAATGGTTCAGAATCTACCGGTACAGGAGAAAAAGTTCAGTAAACCCAACTTCTCCATGAAACGTTTCTTGATCCTACACTTTTCTCCCTCTTGAGGGAGAACTAAATCTGACCTCCATCTCTTAACTACCTAGTAGCTATAAAACACTATTTAAAAGAAAGTTAAACAAAACAAAACCCCCACAACTTTACTGATTGAGGCTTAAATGAGAAAGATTTATGAAGGACTTAGTATGCTTCCTTCCATGTAGAAAATGTTTATTAGGTATTAATTACCTTCCCTCATTCCATGCCTTTCTAAACTTTATCACACTATTTACACAAATAGTAAATATTTATCAAGTTTAAAACGAACAAATAAAGCTTTAAAAAATTTTATTTTCTAAGCTTTAGAACTATCTCTGATTGGAGACAGATCATGTAACTTGATGCCTATTTTTTAAAACAGGAATAATGGCAGATTTTTTTTATTTTCTATAATTTTTTTTTTACAGAGGTTTTGGATTTCCATTCATTCATTGCTGCAATTTTCTCCCTTCCCACCCCTCCCCACTGGCTCGCTTCCCCCTCCGAAGAGAGAAAAAAAAAAAAAAAGAAAAGAAATTCCTTCATTAGTATACATTTCCCACTTCTCTGTCCCTTTTCCCCACCCCCCACCCCAGTACACTTCTCTATGCAACCTTAATTCTGGATTCCTGTGCTAACCATAATAGATGTCTTATAGAAACATTAAAGTATATGGCATACAGAGCTAGAATTTCCTTCTAGGGTAAAACTGTGAAGTTTTTTCTAATGGCTAACCACACCATTAAAGGGTTCTCAGTGGCCATCTCTGTGACTAAACCCTGAGAAGTTCATATGCAGGTCAGAAAGAGAAAAAGTGGTTCTTCCACTTTCTTGTCTAAAAAATATGGATTGCCAGTGTAAATAAGTGAGAGGATCTTGCTCTAACTTGTTGTTGTTGTTATGTGCTGTCGAGTCGTTTCCAACTCATAGCGACCCTATGCACAACAGCCCTAAACCCTGCTCTATCCTGCGCCAACCACACCGCCTCTGACACACCCATCCCGAGTACCCCAGTCACCGAATCAGTCCATCTCATAGAGGGTCTTCCCCTCCTGCGCTGTCCCTCCACCCTCCCAAGCATGATGTCCCTCTCCAAGGACCCGTCCCTCCTGGCAACATGTCCAAAGTATGTCAGACGAAGCCCCAGAATCCTTGCCTCCAAGGAGTAGCTTGGTTTAATCCTCTCCAAGATGAATCTGTTTGTTTTCCTGGCAGTCCATGGTCCATTCAGTACCCTTCTCCAGCACCACAGCTCAAAAGCACCCACTCTCCTTCTGTCCTCCCTAGTCATTGTCCAACTCTCTGATGCATAACAAGCGATTGCAAATACCATGGCCTGTGTCAGGCACACCTTAGTCTCCAGAGAGACACCGTTGCTCCTGAGTACTTTAGAGAGATCCCTAACAGCAGACGTTCCCATCGCGATACGCTTTTTGATTTCCTGACTGCTGGTGCCAAGAGTGTTGACTGTGGAGCTGAGCAAACTGAAGCTGTGAACAATCTCAATCTCTTCGCCATCCATCCTGACGCTGCCAATTGGTCCAGTGGTGAGAATCTTTGTCTTCTTGACACTGAGCCTCAGTCCATACTGAAGGCTGCAGTCCTTGACCCTTCGCAGCAAGTGCATGAGGTCCTCCTCAGTTTCAGCAAGCAGGGTTGTGTTGTCTGCATAACGCAGATTGTTAATAGATCTTCCACCAATCCTGATGCCACAATTTTCCTCATAGAGCCCAACCTCTCGGATAATCTGCTCTGCATACATGTGAAAAGGTATGGAGACAGGATGCATCCCTGGCGTACACCCTTCCCAATTTTGAACCATGCAGTGTTACCCTGCTCTGTTTTGACTACTGCCTCTTGGTCCAAGTATAGGTTTCGCATTAGCACAATAAAATGTTCTGGGATTCCCATTCTTCTCAGAGTCAGCCACAGTTTGTTATGATCCACACAGTCAAATGCCTTTGCATAATCAATGAAACACAGAAAGACATTCTTCTGCTATTCTCTGCTTTCAGCCAAGATCCATCTAACATCAGCAACAATATCCCTAGTACCACAACCCCTTCTAAACCCAGCCTGGACTTCTGGCAGTTCTCTGCTGATGTGCTGTTCTAATCGTTTTTGGATAATCTTCAGTAGAATCTTGCTTGCATGTGAAATCAATGACACTGTTCTGTAGTTTCCACACTCAGTTGGGTCACCTTTCTTTGGAATGGGAACAAATATAGATCTCTTCCAGTCAGTTGGCCAAGTGGTTGTTCTCCAGATTTCTTGGCACAACTTGGTGAGCACATCCAGGGCAACATCTGTTATGTGAAATACTTCAGTTGGTATACCATCTATTCCTGGGGCCTTATTTTTTGCTATTTCCTTCAAAGCAGCTTGAACTTCTTCCTTCATCATGCTAAAAAGTAAGTCACATTAGTCCCAATCAAAATCTTATGGGAGGTAGTGTTATAACCCTGTTTTACAGATGAAGAAACTGAAGTTCAGATTAAATAACTTGTCAAAGGACAGTATATCTTTAGGATTTAATCCTGGATAATTATTATAGTGAAGTAGTTCTCAAACTTTGTCATGCACTGGAATCACTTGAGGGCTTGTTAAAACAGATTTCTGTGTCTCATTCCCAGAGTTTCTGATTCATTGATGCTTGGTGTTTCTAACAAGATGATGCCAATGGTACTTGCATCAAGGTCTTTTCTTGGAGTAGCTCGGTACAGTATAGATAAGCTCCATACTGAAGTATGAGAACTGAAAACAGGTGCAAGAAAATGGGCAAAAATTAGGTTAGGGAAAGCCACTCATGGTGTAACTTAGCCTGGAGATAGTAAAGGTCTGACAGTAGAGAGAAGGAGATGACAAAAGTAAGCTATGCTAAATGCAGACTAATCTGTCATTAGATATATTGAAAGACTGGACAGGTTAGAAATGAATTTCTTTGCTCTAAATATGGAGCTGGACCAACTTCAAGGCAAGATTTCTTACATGAAAAGAATTTTTCAGAAGTGTAAAAAATACAGGTGAAAAGCTGAAGCTTCAGTGTCACATCTACTTCCCTCCAAAATCCAGCATGGAAGAAAGAAAGGGTATCCTAGCTAAAGAAAGGTTTCTTACCCCCTTATGCCACACTAACAGCAGAGAAAAGGGGCACGCTTTCTACTACTAGTGGTTAGTCCTCTGTGAATTATTTCTCATGGGGCCAGGAGGAACTACATGTCCACTGGCTGGCTCCAGGAGGTTGAATAGGAATAGCACTTGCCAGAACATGTTCTATTGCATTAGGCCACCCTAGTGTAAGTCCTCCTTTGTCCACTCCCACAAGTCCATCTGGATTTAGTGTGACAGCTGATAAAAGTGAATAACCAGCCACAAGTAGCCATGCAGGAGTCAGCCTGTTTAGGACCTGTACTGGCCAAGCCTATCAGAGCTCCTTCAGTTTACTTTAGCTGGTTTTAAATTTAAGGCCAGCGATCTTCAGTTTGGGAAGACTGATGACCAAATAAAGTAAGTTTCTCTATAAAGGACATTTGTTTGGAAGAATCAAGGACAACTCTGCCTACAAGAAATTCAAAGTGAACCACTTGTGCCATTTTCAATTTCTTAGTTCTTGGTTATGTGCCATCAAGTTGCCTGCAACTCAAAGCAACTTTTTGTACACTAACTCTGAAACCTGCCCTATCCTGAGCCAATCTGATCATCTCTGACAGACCTAATGACATTTCTCCAGTCACTGAGTCAACCATCTCATTCTGGATCTTCTTCTCCTGTGTTGGCCTTCCACCCTTCTAAGCATGATGTCACTCCAAAGACTGGTCTCTCCTAGCCACATCCCCAAAATATGTAAGTTGGACCCTCAAAATCCTTGTTTCCTTAGAGCAGGCTGGTTTCACCTTCTCTAGGACAGACCTGTTTGTTCTCCTGGCAGTCCACGGCATGTTCAACACTAGTTAGCACTACAACTCAAAGGTATCAATCCTTATATCATCCTTAGTTATTGTCCAGCTCTTGGATGCAAGGCAAGTAATTGCAAAGACCATGGCCTGAATCAGGTAAACCTTAGTTTCCAGAAGGACCTTCTTACTCTCCAGTACTCTAGAAAGGTCCCTGACAGTAGACTTTCCCAGTGCAGTTCATCCTTTGATTTCCTTACTGGTGTTGTCAAGAGTATTGATTGTGGAGCCAAGCAGGCTGAATTGGTTGAAGTTTGCCATTGAGTTGAAACTGACCCAAAGCTGACCCTCCAGCGGGTTTTCAGAGGCTGAAATCACACCGAAGGAGATTGCCCATCCTTTTCCCTCAGAGTAGCTGGTGGATCCAAACTAGTAACTGTACTAAAAATCAAAAGGAGCATTTCACCAAAGAAGACATTCAGATTGTGAACAAACACATAAAGAAGTGTTCAAAATCCCTAGCTCACAGAGAGATGAAAATCAAAACAAGTATGAAATATCATCTCACCCCAGTAAGAATAGCAAAATTTAACAGAACAGCAAACAACAAATGCTGGCAAGGTTGTGGAGAAACCCAAACCCTTATTTACTGTTGGTAGGTGTGTAAAATGGTGCACCCACTATGGAAGGCAGTATGGTGCTTTCTCAAAAAGTTGGAAATAGAAATACCATTTGACCCAGCAATTCCACTACTGAGAATATACCCTAAAGACACCATAGCAATATATATGCACACCCATGTTTATTGCGGCTTTGTTCACAATAGTGAAGAGTT